AAGGAGCATGGTTTGATATATATTTATAAGATATTCCTTGACTTCTTCAAAGAATACCCTTGTTCAACAGCTCATCTCTTTTGTTTTTAAACTAACCATTCCATTTACTTTTCGTTTGCTTGTTTGTTTTTAAAGGCCACTTCAATGTTTATATGGTAATTCTTTTTAGTCACCTGTATAAGAATTCACATGCAAACATTTGGGGAGGCAACTGCATCTTTTCAAGTCCATGTGAAGATGGAATGAATATGTTTTGCAGTTAGAGGTGGCTCCCTAGCGTGAATCTAAATAATTTAAGATACACGTCTTATACTATATACTTGACCTGTAAAGACAGCAAAATACAGGTGCCACTTAAAATTGTAAAATGCTTCCAGAGCAAGTGGATTTCACTTTGCAGACTGCTAGTTGCTTCATCCTTTCTTCCAGAATGTCCTCTCACTCCAGAAAACACAATTCAACTTTATCTTTCCTTTCCTTTTCCAGAAAACCCTCTAAAATCCCATTCTGTTTTCAAATTGATTATTAGGATTGTTGTTGCTGTGGAAATATCTGTTGGAGAGAACATCTGTGACTTGACTGTGAATCAGCTTAATTTTTTTCCTGCTGAACTTCTTTTCTTTCTGTCTGTCTGTCTGTCTGTCTGTCTGTCTTTCTTTCTTTCTTTCTTTCTTTCTTTCTTTCACTTCTATACCACCCAATAGCCAATGCTTTATGGGCAGTTACAACAATCTATTAAAATTCAATCTAAAATACATCGCATTATAAAAATATTGGGGAAAATCTGCCATACAAAAATGAATACCACATTGAAAACATATATAACATTCCAATAATGCAATTAAGTTATTGGCCAGTGGCTAATATCTCCTTTTTGGGCAAGGAGTGTTTGGGTGGTAGCAGAACAACTCCAGGCATTCTTGGAGAAAATGGACAATCCTGATCCATTTCAGTCAGGCTTCAGAACAGACTTCAGACTGCCTTGGTCACCCTGTGGGATGTCCTTTGCCAGGATAAAGACAGGGGACGTAATACTCTGTTGGTTCTCCTGGACTTCTTAATGGCTTTTCATACCATCAACTATGGCATCCTTCTGGATAGGCTGGCTAGGTTGGGAATTGGAGAAATTGCAGTGGTTCTGCTCCTACTTGATCCGTTGTTTCCTGAATGTGGTGCTGAAGGATTGTTGCTTTCCGCCATGGCACTTATGTCATAGATTATCTCAGGCTTTATTCCATTACCCACGCTGCTTAACATCTACATGAATCACTGGGAGAGGTTATCCAGAGGTGTGGGCTGAGTTGTCATCAGTATACCGATTGCAATCAGCTCTACCTATCTTTTTATCTAATGCAGGCAGTGGTCATTCTGAATCATGGCCTGGGCTTGATAATGGATTGGATTAGGGCCAATAAACTGAAGCTTAATCCTGATAAAATGGAGGTAATGTTGATAGGGCAATCTTCTGTCCAGATGGATGACATAACCCCTTTCCTGGATGGGGTCACATTCCCCCCTAAAGAATATGGTTCATAGTCTGGAGGTGCTGCTGGACCCTGAATTTTTGCTGAAATGCCAGTTGGATTTGGTGGCCAGGAGTGGCTTTTATCAGCTTATGGTGATATACTAACTGTGACCCTATCTGGACAGGCAGAACCTTGCAACAGTAATTCACACTCTGGTGACCTCTAGTTTGGATTATTGCAATATACTTATGTTGGACTACCTTTGAAGACAGCCTGGAGACTGGGCAGAATAGGGCTGCAAGGCTGTTGATGAGGACTGACTGATATAAGCATGTAATGCCAATCCTCTTTCAGCTTCAGTGGTTACCACTTGAAATCTAGGCCCGATTCAAAGTGTTAGTATTAATATTTAAAGCCCTGAACAGCTTGGAGCGGGGGTACCTAAAGAAGTGCCTCTTCCCATATGTGTCTCCCTGTGCCTCAAGGTCATCGTTAAAGGTCCTTCTCAGAGAGCTCCTTCTGAAACAAATAAGGATAGTGGCCGCAAGAATGGTCTTGTTGGCAGTGGCACCCCAATTCTGGAATCAGCTCTCCAGAAAGATTCACCTTGCTCTTTTTCTTTATTCTTTACAGTGCCAGGCAAAGACCTGGCACTGTAAACCCAATATTTATTCACGCAATATTTTAATTGTTAAGATAACTTTTATGATAAGGTTTTGATATTTATATTTTGAACTACTGTGCCTTGGTAATGGTTTTAATGGTTAGTGAACAGGATTATTGTGAGAATTTGTTGTGGTAGCTTTTTAGGTGATTTGATTGGTCTATTTATATGATGTTTTATCATTCATATTGCTTTATTATAGGACTGTATTTGTAACCCTGCCCAGAGAGCCATTTTGGCCATGGGGCAGGAGAAAAATAAACAAGATAAAACCTGAGTAAACACAAGTAAATAACTAACAATGCCTGAGTAAACTAATGAAATGCCCTGCAACAGGGAACTGTCTTAACCTGGCACTGAAAAGATAGTAAGGCAGTATTTTGTGGTGGAAATGTAGATTTCCAATGCAAAAGTAAGTTCCAAGTCATTAGACAAGAATAAAACTTGACTTGATCAGTTACCAAAGTCCATAGACTTGCTGGATTGCTTATATATTGAAATATTCTTGATTGCTATGCCATTGGTGTTCTTCATCCATGGTCCTCTAGGAGTCTATAATGTAAAGAATATGGCAGTGTTGTGTGAAACAGACCTGAGGTTATTTGGGTATGTCAGAGGTCAGGTGGCCCACTAGGCTATAACTCTTGTTTTGTAAGGTAAGCTTTCAGCTTTTGCCATTCTTCTGTGTCCCAAAATGCTTGCTTCCCTTTGAATGCCTAGTGCCAAAAAATTTTTTTTTGCTATTAGCACTGCTGTGAACATTTCCTGAATAATCACTTTATTAACTGGCTGCAAACCCAAATAAGCATCCGATATTCTTTTGGATGCTTGATGTAAAACACTGAAACAAAAACAGAAAAAAGCAAGCCCCACAAGCTTCAAAGACTGTTGTTGAACAGACTTCCAGCTGGGTCAGTGTAATAAACATATTAGGAAGGAAAAGGGCTGTTGGGTATATAGTTGTGGTTTGACTTATCTCGTATATCTACAGAAATAAAGTCGTACAGAAGTAAATGAATTCCAGTGCTCCATACAAGCAGACTTTCCCAACCTGGTACCCTCCTGATAGACAAGACTCAGTCTCAGACTTATGGTTGGGAATGGTGGGAGTGGAGGATCCAGAAAATCTGGAGGGCACTGCATTGGGGAAGGCTGATCTAAAATTACGCTCATAAAAAGCAACAAAAACTAATTATATGTGTGAGTTGATGTCAATGTGCAAGGACTGAGAAAAAGACTGCAAGGAGACAAACCAAGTTTGGCTTTACATTTTACTGTAATGGTACATATTTCTGAACATCTTCATACATGCACGTACCCCACCCCATCCCCCCAAAAAACCAACATGTTACTGACACTGTTCTTTCTTTATTGCATAATGTATCCGTGAAGGATTTTTAAAAAGTCTTTTTTAAGGAATATTACAGCATGAATGAAAATTTCTCATGATTTGGTGCAAGTCCTTCAAATAGTAGGGGCTGTCTTGAGTAATTCCTCTCCCTGCTTCTTCCAAGCAGATCAGGACAAAAAACGTTTTATCCAGACTGGCTTTGTGATTCAAAAGAAGAATACTGTAGAAGTTAATAACAAAAGATACAAGCAAAGCTAGAATAGTGTCCATTAGGGAAATGTGACTTATTGATACAAAGCTGTTTCCAAAATAAATGGGTCTCCTTCTTCCTAACCAAAAAGAGCTGACTCCATCTTCAAGATGGCTCACAGAGGAAGAAGAGCCATAGAAGACTCAGGTGGGAGTACTGTGGAGCATAATTTGGAGTCAGATTTATGTTGCTGAAAACATATGCAGTATACATCAAGTGACCCAGTTCTCCAAATTTATTTTTGGTGTGGATTTGAGAAGAAGTCAACCCATTGTTATCTGAAATCTGGATATTGTAAAAAGATAAAGTATAAGCACATAGAGAAGAGTTACACTTTTTCATAATGTTAGTTTACCAGCTGTAGAATTTGGACTGGAGAGAAAGGCACAAGCGTATATATACCTCTTGGCTTATGTCTGGTCTTTCTCAAATACCTCATGAGCCAAGGATGGAGGACTCAGGGAAACCCTCTCACTTGCTGATTCTCAACTGTGGAACTTCTTTTCCATGAACAGAAACAGAACATGGACATGATGAGTAGTCCACTTATGGCCAAAAAAAAAAAGTCTTCCCATTGTATAATACTTTAGATTATCGTTAAATCGAGCACTCAGATTTAACAAATACTATTCTGTTATTTTCTGCCAGTATTATTATTCCCCACCTTAAACTGTGGACCCTTCAACCTATATGAAAGATCATCACGTGTGCTGATACAATTGCATTTTGAGTTTATGCATTTTTATCCCCTTTCCAAAAGCTGAAACTTTTCGAGGCTTCTTATCTGCGCCACTGGTTGAAAGTAAATCCCATGCATTAGTGACATGCTATTTCAATGGAATAAAAGCATTTAGTTGGACTAGCAGAAGCTCTGCAAGACAGGGGTCTTTTCTAACTCTGGTACTCAAGAAATGCCTGGGGCTGCAGCTGGGAGCTTCTGCTCTGTCATACCCTGTGCCTCCCAGTTACGTTGGACTGTAGCACCCACTCAACATGGCCATGATGGGTGTTAACAGTCCAACACTTTTGGAGCACACAGGATTGGAGAAGCTGCCCTAATGTCTCTAGTGAGCTGTTTAAAATAAAATAGCTTCCTAAAACAAGTCTCTGTTGAATAGTATTACATATTCAATGTAATACTGTTATATTATAATGCATAACTACAACTTTATTTCTGTTCTGCATACTGAATTTGGAAAGGACTAGAAAAAGAAATGTATCTATAATATGCAGTGCACAATAAAAATATTCATTTTTTTATCTTTTTAGGTCAAAAAGGGCAGAAGATACCTGTGAGAAATAAGTGAAGTGAAGGAAGAACTGGAGCACGTAAGTACTTTTTCCTGTTGCATAGCTGAGCAGATTTCAGATGCTTCCACTGACAGCAAACAAAGCTGAAAACAAATTGCGAGCCAACTGAGATTTTAGAAATAACCTATTTATAAGTCTAGTTTAGGGCACAACACTACTGGGTTGGTACCTGCCAGACAGAAACATCCAAGCCCTGAGGCTTCCGAGATTCTTACCCAGTTTCTGCCACCAGGGTGAAAGGAGTCACTGAAGTGATTTTCACCTCTGCGTCCTCCTTTGATTTTTTTTCTCCTACTAGATGGGTTCAGGGCCCCTCTAATGGAGTTGTGTACATAGGGCTGACCCAGATTTGGAGAAGGCCCAGGAACCTGTGGATCCTGGCTTCTCCAGTTCTGTCCCCTCCTTGTTCAAGAGTCCACTCCCTTTTTCCTCTTTCCTCTTCTATCCTCATCTAATGTCATGACACCATCTTCAGAAGAGGAGCTGCCCTGGAGGTTTCTGCAGCAGCTGAGCCAGGATTTTTATCTCTGTGGTCTCTATCTGCAGCCTCAGAGGTGACAAATCACAACATCCTGTAGCCCCTCAGTCAATATCTAGGGTCCATCGAAATCTACCCTTAAACATTAAAAATACTGCTGAAGTAATTACCATGCTTTATTTGTTAAAACCATATTTACATTCTTTCTATTGCTGGTTGGCAAGTAGAGTTAGAAGTATATCTACCCAAGAATTTTGACCTCCTTCTATACTACAGTGCTATAAGCTCTGGTATAAGCTAAACAGCAAGAATGCCTGTTTTGGGGGATAAACTCTAAAGATCCAGAAAGGAAGGTTTTTTTCCTTCCATGAAATGGGGCATTAGCATGTGCCTATTCTAAAACAGGGGCTGTTTCTTTTTTTTAAGTAAGGATAGATCCACAGTTGTATTATCAAAAACTAAATTCTGAGATAGAATTAAATTAGAAGTAAATTTTGGAGATAGAAATAAATAGATATGCAGATTAAGCATGTATACACAAGCCTTCTTCGTTTGCATAATTCTGCTGACTGGGGAAAAGTCAAAGATTGATGAAGCTGAAATCCTGTTCAGTTTCTTCTCCGCTTCTCTGCTTCTTGTTACTTCTGAAATTTAACTAGACAGTTCTCATATGCTTTTAAACTGATATTAAGAACAATAAGTTAATAACAATCCTCCCTTTAAAAAGAACAGAAAGGTTAGATTGTCTGACTGATGCTGTTTTCATAATAAGTGTCCAATATAAATTATTTTGGAGAGGATATGTGAATAGCTAGGTTTGCCCCAACTCTCTTGTATTTGGAACTGTGTAATTAGAACTCCAGAAAAAAATAATAAGCAATATTTCATGTGCTCTTTCCTACGTCCATTTATCATGTTGTCCCAGTTGTATCATTTCAGAGTGGATCCTTGCTAGCACCATCAAGCCCTATTTGTCTAGACAAAGCATTTGTTCTGTGCTTTTCTGATGCTTGGGTATCTGCACAGTTTCAAAATTTGAGACCTAATTTCTGCAAGCCACTTGCTCCCTAAAAGTCCATGTGGTCCAGTAGGAGCATCTCCCATTTGATGGTATGATCCCAATGGTGATCAGTGTGAGCTTCTGCCTTTCTGCAACTCGTACTGCTTCTATTACTTCCAGTTGCATTATGAGTCAGATGGTTCTCTTTCAGACTTGCTGTTCCAAGCTTCAGTCATTATTTAAACGATTTTTTTAATTGTTATCATTATTTATGTATGTATTTATGTATTCTTTGTGAGCAGCCCCGAGGCTTTGCTGCGATGGGGGCGGCATAGAAATGTTTTAAATAAATAAATAAATAAATGATTAAACATGGATAAATAGGCCCTCAAAAATATGACAAACTACACTTCAGCTTTACTTCCTTCTTTAAAATCTTGGGGAATTTCTCAATAACCTAATCACCTGCATTCCAGCCACCACACGGTAATGACTCATATAGTGTCATGCCTTTCCCAGGAATTCATGGTGCCTGACAGAGACTTGATACCCTATCTTGCCTGCCCTGATCTGAAGAATATTGAGCTTAGTATACAGGCTTGCATGGTGTAAGGAGTTAGTAATTGTAGGCAGTTGTCTGAAAAGCATTATAAATTGTTATTCATGAAATTATTAGTACTGATTACATAGATTCATTAAAGCAAAGGTGTATCAGATCAGATCATACTCAAAGAGTAGATTAAAACAGTAACCTATAATCTCTGCTTGCAGTCACCAGTCCTGTGAATAAGAAAAATCCACATTACATGTTACATAAAATGTATTAGTTATATTTCCTTGCAAAAGTACTTTGGGATAAAGCAAAGAGGTGAATGCCTGAGTGCACAAATTTTGATTCTGTTTAAACCAATATTATGATGCGTGGCTGGCTGAATTTTTCATCATGGTTGATGCTCTTTTTACATACCAGTGAAAATTATTTTGACAAACAACACCTTGTCTGAACGTTTAGTTTTTCTTTGCCATTCTCACTGAAGTCTTTCCTTGTAGCCAGGTTGTAAAGATCTTTAATATCAGACCAAATTTCAGCCTCTAAAATTGCAAAATCTATTTTACTCATATAGATAGTTTGCTAAAGTGAACATACTTTGCAACTCACTTTTGTGGTTTTCCATGGGTGGTTAGTTACACTAACCCAGTTTTTAAAAAAATAATGTTAAGTTGTGGCTTAGTATTATAAAGGCAAGTAAGTTCAAGATGCTAGGTAGCAGAAAAAGACAGTCTTATAAAAAGCTGCATAGTTTAGAAGTAACTTTGGCCTGGTTTTCTTTTTGTTTTGGCCTATGCTCCTGCTTTTAACACAAACTGACTGTGAATTCTGGCAGGTCATGTCTAAGCAGTTGGTAATATAAAAAACAGTAAAAGTGGCACTGTATATCAGGATTGAAATTGTGTACTGTGCATCAGAAAAGGATATGAAACAGAACAGGCCCTGTCATTCATATCATACATGCTATGGCTTTTCTGAGCAGCTGTTTGCCCTATCTCATGCTTCTGCTTTACTCTCCAGCTCTTATAACAGACACGTTAATAAAGAGTCAAGCACTTGATAGAAATGTTATGGAGATCATTAGAGTTTATGCATTCAGTAGATATTGACTGAATGCATTCGATTACAGCAATAACAATAGAAAATAATGGCAAAATTGTTCACTGTGCATGTTCTTGTGAGTAAACAGAGTACTGTGCTTCACTGAAGGACAGATAGATGTTTTGTAACATAATTTGAGCAGAAAAGAAAAGGATTTGTGCCTTGGAAAATCAAGTGTTAGGTAATTTAGTTGGGTTTCCCAAGCTTAGACAGCATTGTATCTTCTCCTCACATAATCAATACAGTGGGAAGAAAGTAGATCTCCAGATCTTTCAGACTTCAGTTTCCAGCATTCCTGCCCATTGAGGTACCTGGCAGGGCTTCTGGAACTTTTAAGTCCAAAGCATCTGGAAATCTGTCTTCTGTCCATCCTTCCCTCATTAGACCAGTGCTTTAATGTGTAAGAATAAGTTTGAAATATTCTAGATTGTTGATGTGGTAGCAGCATAATCTAGATTTTTCACACCTTTTAGATCCAGTCTTCCATCCCTGGGGAAACAATTCCAAAAATGTGAGTAATGGCATGTATCTAAAGTATTTAGGCACAAGACCTAGTCTATTTTAGAAATCAGCAGAGCCTAGTTTGCTGAAGCCAGGCTATCCCTATCCTGATTTGGGTGCAGCTGGACCACCAACCAAACACAGTAGAAGTTACTCCATGCTACTGAGGTCGCTGGAACCTCAAATGACCAAACTGCAAACCTGCTCCTTCAAGGGGACTGCAATCCAAAACAGAATGAGCACCCCTCTATTCACCAACAGAATCTCAATCTTGTCTGGATTGAGCTTCAGTTTGTCATCCCTTAGCAGTCTATTGTCCCAGACAGGCACTGATTTAGCACATACAGTCTCACCTGCCGAAGATGAAAAGGAGAAACAGCGCTATGTCCACTCATAGCAAGGAAGTCCAGAACTCAAAATGACCCCACACATATGTTGCATGCTGATGTTAAATAGCATGCATACAAGACCAGCCCTTGAGTGACCCCATACTGGGGAATCCATGGAGCCAAGCTTGACCTCCAGGCACCACCTTCTGATCACAACCATCCAAGTAGGATCAGAACCACTGCAAAACTGTATCCTTTCTCCCACTTCAGAGTAACCCTGAAGGTTACTGAGAGGTTCAAGAGTATCAACACTCCTCTTGTTTGTCTCTTGGTATAAGTCTGCAGGGTTTCAAATGCAGAATACCCTATGTTAATGTGTAAATAGTGCCTTTATTCTGTTCACTTGTACTTAATAACATCAGTTGTGTTTCTGCCAGTGTGGCTTGCTCAGGATGATGGGAGGAATTGTGAAATATCCTAGCTAGAAACTTAGGAAGGCTTCTTTTTCCGGTGTTGGAGTTCACATTTCTGTGGCATCATCATACAGTTCCCACAGGAAAAAAAATATTTCTGGTTGGTGCGCCAAGATGCATAAATTTTACAAATATAAACAGATTCTGAGAAGACCTTCTTTTGAAGTTTTTAGGCAGTGAGTTGTGGGTATGCGGTGAGAGGTGCTTGAAGTCGAAGTCAAAAACAGATTCACTGACAGGTAATTTATCTACCTCTCACGGTTGGCAACAGTTACACATACTAGCAGCTACCTTGCAGTCTGTACTTCCTGCCTTTTTTAAAAATCTTAGTTCAGCTGCACAGTCAGCACAATCTGAGTGAGTATAGAAGGTGGCTTCTTTTGGTTTTGCTGCATTGCTTTTAGTAAGCCTAATGAGTTGTGATATTTATTAGGTAATTGGGCTTGTTCAATATGCAGTTTACTCAAATGACCTGTAGTAACACATTAAATATGTCTCTCCAGAAGTACTCCAATGCCTTGTAAATAGAAATTGTAGCCTCTTGGCTTTGAAAAAGGAAAGTGTGTTGCTGATTTCCCTCCCAGCACACACACACAAACACACCCTCTCCATGCACAGTGCTTATTGCTGTGACTCCCCCCCCCCCCCGCTTTCTTTGTCTCTTTCTTTTCATTTGAAATCAGAGAAGGTAGAAAACAGTAAACAACACTGCTGCAAAAAAAAGTATTTTGGCCAAAAGGCTTGCCACTTCTGAGAAGGAAAGCTTGGGTACAAAGGCTTGTCAGCTTAATTGAACAGTACAGCTGAAGTTGTGGTTGAAATTTAGAGGAATTCCATGCTGTTTCACCTCTGGCCCATCTTGAAATAAATCAACATTACAGCTGGTAACCAAGGCAAAATTCAGAGGGGAAGGAAGGTTCTCATAAACCAGTCCTTTAATTAAGTGGAGTGTTAACATCTACTCAAACAGATATATAGGAAGCTGTCTTATACACCACCACCGGCCAGCCCATTTCCACATCCAACTTCATATTCTGAATGATGCAAGGTTTCAGGCAAATACCTTTCACTTCATATGCCACTGAACCTTCTAACTAGAAACAACACAGATTGGACCAAGGGCTACCATCCTTTTCCAAGTTGGCTTTTTTTGAAAATAAAATTCGAAAAGAAAAGAAAAGCCAGATGCTCATTTGAACTTTAAAAAAGCAAAATAAGCTAGACTGAACTGGAATTAGTACCCTTTCATGATTCTATATTAGTAAAACACATGCTTCGAAACAGTACTACATTTTTGGTCAAGTAAATGACATTCTGAGAAGCAGGGCAGAGGTCCCAAACTGAAATGCAAAAATCTGAAAGAGAGGAGCAGGCACAATACAGGTTAGCTAGTTTACTGGAAAGGTTAGAGGTAGTCTTCTCACCTTTTAATGATGTCCCTGAACTGTATTGCGTATCTTGAACTGCTGGCTTTCTTAGCACCTTCTTTGTGTATTATTTATTGTTGAATATGAAACTTATGTTGTGAAGAGAATCATGTTGCTATTGCAAGACTCAGTTCTGGGGTAGCACACTCAGTAGGCACTCAAGGAGAATCTGAACTCTTAAATAATTCCAACCCATGCCTGATTTAAACATGAAGCTAGTTTCACCAAAAAAAAGTGCTTATCTCTTGGCACATTCACATAGCCAGACTCCGCTTTAAACTAGGTTGCTTGCTCCCTGTACATGCAGCATCAGCTCGCCAGCATACCGTTTATCTATCCCATGTATATACAAGGGCCAGAAACTCAATTTAAACAGAAAGTCAGCCATGGGGAATGTTATCATGAACAATTTTTTAGTTTAACCAGCTTTGTGATTTAAATCAGGCCTTCTATTAGCAGCTGGAGTTATTCAGAGCTTTTGAACCCTAGGTTTGGGTTTGTATACAGTTAGGCTCTTAGCTGTTAACCTGTCCTTCAACTAGATGTGGTTGTATTGTTGAGTTCAACAAACTCTTACTGAGCTCAGTGGATGCTGTAGTTAGACCAACAGTTCAAGTCTGTTATTGTTACAGTGTTTGGAACTGATGCCTGAATACATTATTTGTTTGATAAAAAGACAAAATAGCTTTAAAATTTTCTCAATATCTATGGTAATAATGTTCCTAAAGATTTTCAAGAGATAGATTTGATTGTGTTTCATGACTCAAACTAAAGTTCAGAACAATCTTAAGAGCTTTTGCGTTCCAAGAATGAAACTGAAGTAGATATTACGCTAGTGTAAGTAATCTCTCTGCTCCTTAATATTACCTTCCCAATTATGATGTATGGCTTTGAGTTTCTCCCACTTACAAATTATATGTGTCTGGCTGCTGGTTTTTCCAATGGTTCCTGCTTAGGAAGCACAATAGGTTTCTGCAGATATTGAACTAAGTTTGGACAGTAATTCTCACATTTCTAGCTTGTTTAGAATTACAATTCAAGATTTATCATGATCCCATGATTATGTATCCTTTGTGTGGTAAATGTTATTTATTTGGGATGTTTGGAAATTAAAAGATGGTTTTACTTTGTTTGGTATAAAAAGAGATGTAATAAAATGCAAAGTCTAAATATGTAAATTTATAAGATCTTAAAGGAAATTTGCCCCCATTTTCAAAACTGTACACTGTATCAAAGTAATTGTACCTGGACATTTTCAAAAGGTGTTGTAGCAGTTGTCCTTGTTAAATCTTGGAAACACCACAACTATTCATTTTGATCCAGAAATGTGCATGTGTTATCTAGGTGCCTATCTAAAATGTACCTCAAATGCTAGACCATGCAGAAACCCTTCTCTTTCAGCTCTTCTGAATTCAGGTGGTCTAGGGACTCATCACAAGAAGTTTTAGAAGAGGGACACGTTCACAGTGATATGAGGACCAGTCCAAAATACTAGGGCCAAACAAAATACTTCTGTCCTGCACACAGTTGTCCTGCTTCAGCCAACTTCAGTTCCATGTTAAATAAGTACAAGTCTAATTTCAGCAGAGAAGTCAGAGCAACCCAGAAGTTTAAAAGTTTACCAGAAAAATGTTCATTTTTCCAGGGAGAAATCAGAGATAGAGCCAAAGTCAAATGCACAGGATATTAGTCAATTATAATTAGAGAAGCAAAAGGCAGCAGCAGGCAGAAGTCCAAAGTTCAATAACACAGAGTTCCAAACATGAGTCAAAGACAGAGAGCAAGATGCAGGAGCTGCTGCAGTGACAATGCTTCCAGCATCTCTGTGGTTACAGGTGGGAAATGATATAGCCAAAGCTACCGGAGCCCAACCAGTGCTCAGTTGCAACATATCAAAGGTTTGCCAGATGTTCTTCTCATAAGGAGCGCCCAACTGATAAGAAGTCCTCTTCCATATTCCTTCACATGGTCAGCACCCTGTCATGATTCTTAAAGTACCAGCATTCTTGAGGGCTGTTTATCATTCATCCCTGCTTCAGAAGATGAATTTTCTGCCTCCCCAGCTGGCAGATTCAAAGCCAGTCAGTCCTGAGAATCCCTGAGCAAGTGCCAGATTCTTCTGAGGGTTCAGCTCCCGCTGAAGGTCCTAGCTTCTCCTCTGAACATAACTCCAGCAGTGGCATAACACCAGGGCAGCATTATAGAGCTATGTGCACAAAATCTCCTCATATTTCTCTCTGTGTAGCCTCAATTTAGAATATAAACTCCAGTTTTTGTTTGGAAATCCTGACTACATCAGGAAGTGGGAGGGACTTAAAATGGGGGCATTGAATCATAGAATAGTAGGGTTGGAAGGGACCAAGAAAGCCATCAAGTCCCGCCCCGTGCTGGTGCAGGACTCCAGTTACACCACCCCACTCAGAACTGTGTTTTCTTCTTGAATGCCTTTAGTGTGGAAGAACACACAACTTTTCTGGGCAGCTCGTCCCATTGGATGGAACCTTCTTTTCCTTTCTCTTTTTAAAGCTCTTACAGGGGTGGAACTTTGGAATGATAATGGGTGGAAGACTAAAGTCTTCTCTCCTGAAGTGCCATGGCAACTCTCCATGTAGGGGTTGCACATGCATATACAGAAGTAAAGAGATCTAGCACACACAGCTCCACAATGTGTGGAGAATAATCCAGATGAATGTGGTGACTCTTGGAGTTACAAAGTAAAAAGGATATGTTCAGCTTGCTAGTACCCAAGAAGCATGATTTTTCAGATGTAAATGTGAAATC